TTATCTTTTAATTTCATCTTTCTTATTTTTTAGAATTAACTTATTCGTGTGAATTTTATTTTTTTAATATACGAGTACCCATGATCATTTTATCTTATGTTTTCAAATTAGACCTAAATTGGCTTTTTTATTTTTTACAACTATAATCTATTTTATTTCATAAAAGCTCAAAGCTAAGTAATTGAGATATTTTCTTTAAATTTCTTTAATTTATACAATTAACACAATTCATATTCGTATTGGTACCAAAAAGGTGATGTAGGGGTGCCTATCATTCCTTACACAGTCGACTCATGAATCATTTCAAGTGAATCTTTGGTAAGATGTAGATAAAATAAAATGTAAAATTTGAATATCCAACCTTATCTAATCCAAAACAGTTAATGTTGACTCTAAAAAGATATATCATTCACTTAATGTCGAAATTCAATCTCGAATTCTTGAAAAACTGTTTCAATATTAAACAAATAATTTTTAAATTATGGTATAATATGATTGATGAAATATAATATAATAAACAAATGTTGATTAAAAATAGATTCAAATTATTAAAAATAGGAAAGATTATAACAAATTTCACATTATAAAAATATTAAAATAACATAAGATTAAGGTAATACTAAAATTATATTTCCTATCCTATAAAAAGAATTACCATATGTTACTAAATCTTGTATTACCCATGATAGCCCAAGGAAAAATGAACAAGCAAGGTCGGATTCAGAAATATTTTTAAAGGTGAACACATGTATATATTAATAATAAAATCTTTTCGTATCGGGTAGGCACAAATAAAATTCTAGAATGAGCACCAATAGTAAAATAGATAATTAATATAAAAAAATTCAGATTCCAAGGTATGCATGCCCACCCTAGATCCCTAAATAAGCCTTGCATCCACCGTTGCGGACAAGGATAGTCACATCCTTAAAAATTTTAAATTATCATATATTTTAAGTATTTTTATTTATATAATTTACTTTTTCCTCTAAAAATTTATAAAACTTTCTCCTTCTAAATTTTTAAAAATTATCCTGTAAACATAAAGTTATGTATTTTTCTTTTGATTACTTATTCAAGTTAATATTAGGGTAAAATATATAAATTGTCACTGAACTTTTTAGATGCTTACATTTAGGTCCCTAAACTTTTAAAACTTACAATACAATCACCAAACATTTAGTTCATTTGCAATATGGTCCCCGACGTAATGACCGTTTCACTACCGTTAGGGTAAATTATATAAATGGTCATTGAACTTTTCAGGAGCTTGCATTTAGGTCTCCCAACTTTTAAAACTTGCAACACAATCATCAATTACATTCTAAACCCCAAAATCCAAAATTCTTCAATTATATTCTAAACCTCAAATTCTAAAATACTTCAATTACATACCCAATCCCAAATTCATAATCTATTCTCAAAATCTTCCATAATAAATTGAACTTGAAATAACAACCCTAAACCCTCAAAACATAACTATTTCAAAAAAATTTAACCAACTATAAGTGAATAATAAGTTATTATGTTGGGTTTAGGGTTATGTTATACCTAAATACTCAATTCAATTTATAAAATAGTTTACTCAAAATGTAACACCCCTAACTCGTACCCTGCCCGATTAGGAATCTGAGGTGTCACATTGACTTTTCAAAATATTGACTCTTAAAAAGTAAGGGAAAATTTAAACTTTTCTTTGTCTTAAATTGATGGAACCCTTGAATTAGAATAATTAATAAAAACTCGCATTTATATTTAAATAAACACTTAATAAGTCACATAAATACAAAAAAATATAAGTTTACAAAATAGATCAGAGCATTTCAATTTAAACTTGTAGTACATGCCAACAATTTACAATTTACAAGAAACCTACATTTAAATTTTTCTGATCTGATCTTTGTGGGGTATGCTGTCCTCGCCTATCCTCAATCCTCTGTTCTCTTCAAACCTACGTGTGAAACAATCACACGCTAAGTCATTGGCTTAGTGAGGCAAGTACGAGACAAATAAAACTTTATAAACAAAATTTCCTATTTATGTCATAAAACATTTCATAAGGGATTCAAATTGCTTTTCATAACACAAATAGATTCTTTTATTCATTGTTCTATTCATATAACTTTGTTTTTAATGGCCCAATGTATATTACTAAGAACTCTAGTTATTTTAGTACATTGAGGTTGTGCATTAATACTGTCACCACAGCTCGCATAATATGCACCAAAGTGCCACATATTTGTCCCGAAGGACGACATAGTTTTGTCCTGAATGACCACATAGTTTTGTCCCAAATGACCACATAGAACCCTCGACTCTTGGCATGCCAACTATACTTATAATCCTCATACATATACCTTGGGATTTTAACCACATAATTATTTATCATTCATTATTCGAAGTATATCTTGTTCACATAGGCATTTTCACATCGAGTATTTTCGTATACACATTTTCACATGTCACATTTTCATAGTCATGTACACAAAACATCAAAACATAGCTTAAGTAATATAACGTGAATAAAACATTGTAAAAATATAACATAAAAGAAATTGAAAGGTTTTCGATCGAAAAATCTGAGGTTGGCTTATCGCAACCCACCCTCGAATCGAATATAAACAAATGAGTTGCACTCACCTTTGCCTCACTGAAGTCCTAAACGAATCATTGTCACTTTTGATCCATAACTTATAATGTCGAATTGTCCAAAACTTGTCTTTGATCGATGTCTACACAAGAACAATCGAAAATGAATATCACAATTCATATCGCTTATAACCACACATAATAACTTAAGTTGAAAGAAACACTTAATTCATCATTTCAAGCACACTAGAATCGATACTTCTCCTACAGTACCAATACTTCTCTTCTATGGTATCGATACCCACTTCAGTACCGATACCATTTTAGCATTCTGGAATTTCCAACTTGATAATGGTATCGATACCTTACTCTTGGTATCGATACTCCCCTTTCAGTATCGGTACCTCCCTCAATCAGTACCGATATTGATCCTTGAACTCAAACTGATTTTGCCTTGAAGTATCGGTACTGTTCTTCCAGTACCGATACCCTTGCCCAGAAATTGACATTTTTATTTCAAAAATTAACCAAAACTTACCTAAATATCCTACTTTTATCTCCCTTTATGCCTTTAAACTCAACTTCATTCCTCAAAACCAACTTATCCCAATTTAATACTCCTCAATATCCAAAATCTCACTAGAACACTTGAATCTCAAAATCATACCATATTTTCAAACATGTTATTAATCATTTCTAATCCTTCTAACTCCTTAATTAGACCCTTGACAAGTCAAATTTATCAATAGAAATCCAAAAACTAAACCATATCAACAAATCATTAAAAACACCCACTTTACAAATTCATCAGTAAAACACTCATCTCTTAGTTTTAATATCCCTAAAGCATCCTTTAAGTTTATATATCACTCAAAGAACAAGAACCAACTTAAAGATTTAAGGAACAAGCAACTAAAATTCATCTCACCTTTAAAACTGGAGCTCAAAGCAATGAGGAATGAGATAACAATGGTTTCTAGACTTTTCTTTTCCTTTTCTCTCTTATCCACATGTTTGTTATCCCTTAAAAAGGGAAGATAAAAATCCTTCCTTTGAAAAGACCATAATGCCTTCTAATAATCCAATTTTGATATCAAGTCATAAACAAAATTTCCAAAATAAATCCTTGAACTTTTCAAGTTATTTCAATTAAACCACTAAGTTTTAAATTCTTACATTTTGATCACTGACCCGATGTTTGGGGTGTTAACGAAATTTTTTCGATTTGAGTTTATAAAATTTAAATCAAGTCGAATTGAATTGAATTTTCGAGTTTCTGTTTAACTTTAATTATAAATATTTATCATATTATAATATTATTTGATTCTAATTCAGTTCAGTCTATAAAATAGATGACTCGAAATTTTTTCGATTTGAGTTTAGAAAATTTAAATCAAGTCGAATTGAATTGACTTTTCGAGTTTCTGTTTAAATTTAATTATAAATATTTATAATACTATAATATTATTTGATTCTAATATTAATAGTCTTTTTAACCATATACAAGACATAATTTTCTTCATATTTTTCCATATGTTATATACATATATCATACAAAGTCAAGGGACTTGACTCAAACTTAAAAATTAATCCATTAATTACTAAAAATTTTGAGATATTCGAGTTGTATTTTACAACTCGATTTTAACTTGAAATTTTTTTAAGTTGAGTTTATGAAATTACATCTCAAAGTCAATTTGTATCAAATTTTTTGAATCAATTCAAGTTGAAAAATAAATTTTTCGAATCGAATTGAGTATTGTTTACATATAGTTGGTTAAATCTAACTGTTAAATCCTAAACCCAACATAATCACTTATTGTTATGACCCAAAATGAACTAAATGTTGTTGATTATGTTGGGTTAATTGGTGGGGAAATTTAGCATTTAAGGTTATATTTTGAGGGTTTAGGGTTGTTGCTTCAAGTTCAATTTGTTATGACAGATTTTGAGAATAGATTATGAATTTGGGGTTGGGCATGTAATTGAAGTATTTTTGAAATTTTAGGATTAAAATGTAATTGAAGTATTTTGGAATTTGGGGTCTAGAATGTAATTGATGACTGTGTTGCAAGTTTTAAAAGTTGGGGTGGATCTAAATGCAAGCGCCAGAAAATTCAGTGACCATTTATATAATTTACCCTAACGGCAATGAAACCACTGTTAAGTCGGGATCATATTGCAAACGAACTAAATATTTAGTGATTGTATTACAAGTTTTAAAAGTTGGGGACATAAATGCAAGCATCTAAAAAGTTCAATTAGCATTTATATACTTTACCCTTAATATTATTGAAGAATAAAAGATTCTCACCAATAATAATAGACTTTTTGAAAAGTATAAGAATAATAGATTTGATGATGCTATATATAGGTATGATTGCAATGTATGTTTTTGGGGGTACATTTGCAACAACTTATTTATGTTTTTCTCAACCCGAATCCCGGAAAACAATAAAGGAAAAGAATTTGAGAGAAAAAGAAGGAAGCAGTAATTAATAAAGCTGCAGAGAAAGGAGGAAGAAGGAATAAAAAGAAGATCCACCTCGAACTACTCTGTTCTGCTTTGAGGCTGTAAGTATTTGCTTGTTTTAACTGAAGTTGTTATCTCTTGTTACCATGAAATCAATCATTTCTGAAATTCAATCTTTTATTTGTAGTTGTTGTTGCAGAACTTGGAGCTGCTTGTTAAATGTTTGTTTGTTATCAAGGGTATTTTGTGAGTAACGATAATGAGGGAAGAAGACTCGAATTGGTTCTCAAGATGGGAGGAGGAGCTGCCGTCCCCGGAGGAGCTGATGCCGCTTTCCCAAACCCTAATTACGCCTGATCTTGCTCTCGCATTCGATATTCGTAACCCAAACCAGAACTACCAGCTGCCTCCTCCTCCTCCTCCTCCTGTTGCTGCTCTTCCTCTTCCGTCGCCTGCAGTTGTGCAGCCTCCTATGCCCACCTCTTCCGAATTCGCCTCCGATTCCGGGGACTTGGGGTCCGGGGGTGCCGGAGATGAGCCCGCACGCACGCTCAAGCGGCCTCGACTCGTGTGGACCCCACAGCTGCACAAGAGATTCGTTGACGCAGTGGCTCATTTGGGGATCAAGAACGCTGTCCCCAAGACCATAATGCAATTGATGAGTGTTGACGGTTTGACCAGAGAAAACGTCGCTAGTCATTTGCAGAAATATCGCCTTTATCTGAAGAGAATGCAAGGCTTATCTGGTGGTGGCGGCGGGGATCCCAACGGCGGAGCTGGCACTGCCGGGTTGAGTGCTACGGCTGATCCAGCTACTGACCATTTGTTTGCAAGCTCACCGGTTCCACCCCACTTCCTTCATCCTAGTAGGGGTAATTCAGAGCATTTCTTGCCGTTTGTGCCAGTGCCGGCGCTGCAGCGTCAACACCATCACCAGCAACAACAGCAAATGGTGGCAGCCGCAGTAGGACATCCGCATTTACAGAGTCAGTATCATAGGCAATTGGGGCATTTTGGGTCATCATCAAATGGCCAATTCGAGCATGCCTTCATAAGTAGGCAGAATCAGCAACCACTGCATAGGATGGGTGGGACACCCCTGCATAACCGAGTTCCCAGTAGTCATGTCGAAGACTTGGAATCTGCCAACGGGAATGGTGGAAGGAAGGTTCTCACTTTATTTCCATCAGGAGATGATTGATTCACAATTATTGTCACTCCATTTTCACCATTCTACTCTTCTTCTTTATGTTCATTAGTCCTTTCATTCTAGTTTCATCATGTAGAATCTTGAGGGGTACTGGTAATTGGCAAATGAGTAAATTGCAGTTCTTTAATCCCAGTTTTCATCTTAAGCTGGTAGGGAGTGTATTTAATCTAGTTCTAGTCTCTTCAATACTTTCTGCCACTTAGTAGAGTCAATTGCAGCTTGAGTTCTTTCATAATTTTCAGTTCTGCAGACTTCCGTGCCTGTAACTAAGTCGTTACCGTCTTCGTTCTCGGTCAGCGTTATTGGAAGGGACCGCAATGTCAGTGTAAGATACAATAAATTCTTAAGCTTATAAATTTTTGCAATTAATTCGTCTGCTAATGGAGTTTGTGTTAATCATTTCTTCTTAGTTGATACTGTTATTAGAGGTAAGTTGTACATTATGATCTGCAATATGAAGGGCATCTTGATCTCTGACTTCACATTATCTTTTGTTTATTTTTAATTCTAAATTTCCATGAGCATTGGCTGGATATTCTGAAATCACAGCATCTTTAACATTTGGGACTTGTTGAATGATATAAGTTTTATAGTGTGGAGTAGAGAACTTACCATTTCTGATCAAAGAATCATATAGATTTCGTTGGCATACAGCTGAAACATACAGTCTTGGGTCTTCATTCTTGTCAGAAATTCTCTTTCTTTTTGGTGTCAAATTTGGTTACATTTAGATGAGCAACATCTTTGTGGCTTGTTATGGATATGATATGATATGATTTGATATGATAGATTGTTTTATTTTTTTTTTGAATAGTTGGGGTTTTTTTTGTAAGATAGTATATGTTTAAAATTTTCTTAAATTATTGATAACACACGTACACACTGCAGATACTTGAACTCAAATCTACTAGAAAGAACAACATTTATTTTTATCACTGAGGTCACTATAATTTCACACATATTAATGTTCTATTTAATTTTGATCTCATCAGTCAAGTTTTTTTTCTTATTTCTTTTTTGATAAATCTAGGGTGAATATAAAGTAGTATGTGTTTAAATATTTTATCATTTGACAATAAACACTAATATCCTTACGTACACTATAATCGAATTCAAAATCTCATGAGATAACAATAATCTCGTAATCACTTAGATTCGTGCAACTCATCATTAAAGTTGCATTATGGGAAGCTAGGGTTAAAAAATTTACATTAGTTCATGAGGAATGCTATATGATTTTGAAATAATATATTATTCTCCACCATTTCTGTTATGAGATGTCAACCTCTTCCATCTCATTAATGGCTGTCATATGGTCGGTATATCATAATGATTAGAAAATTAGTTAAGATTGTAATGAAATCCTAATAAATCCAAATTGCAAAAAGCATGGGAAATGATCGTATCCAATTTGCAATCCCAGCTGTCGGATGATTGCATCTATTTAAGTCAACTGTTGGGGGTATAAACATGGCTATTTTATGCCAAAGTTTTTGAACGTGGAAGGCAGACTGTGACAGACAGGTGTAGTTAGTGAATATTCCAAGGCCCTCTGCTGATCTGGTCTTATCTCTTGCTTTTATTTTATTTCTATCATTTTTGTTTTCTTTCCTTATTACATGAATACGGATAGTTCAGTTATGCGACGGTTAAAGTTAAAAAACAACGATTTTAAGGCACAATCGAAAATGAGAAAAAATATATATAATATTTTAGATAGTTTAGATTAACGTAACCAAAAATATTACCTTATTAATAAGGTAACAATTAAGGTTGAATAAAAAATGTTATGAAGATTCTAAAATGTTACGAAGAATATAACATTTTCGGTTCAATCGAAAATGTTAGAAAAAAGATAATAATTTAGGTTGCATTCAACCTAAAATGATATGATTTTTATCGCGTATTCAATTACGTCCTAAAGTTGTCTTTTTTAGTGTTAAATTAGGCTGTCTCTACTTAGACTTTTTCCATAAATACGATTCTCTTCTTGAATTTTTCATCTTTGCATCGGTGGAGATTACAAAATGAAGAAAATGAAAAAAAATATTAATATTTGTTTGGTTTTAAAATATAATCTTTTACTTTAAAAAAATATTTTTTATTTTCAATTTTTCAAAAATTTAGAAAATATGTTTCTTTAATATAAGTGAAAAATTATTTTAAGAAATGAAAATAGTGAAAATGTATTTAGAATCTAATTTTTAAAAATAGAAATGAGTAAATAATTACTAAATAATTAATTAAAATATAAATATTAAAAAATTATAGCACAAATTTAACATTAGTTATACAAATATAAAATAATAAAATTGATAATAAATTTCATAACACAAAAATTATTTGAGTTTATTATAAGATTATAATATTAATGCATGTTTAGCACCAATTACATTAAAGAAAATACCACAAAATATAATATTGTAAGTAAAAGCACACACAAAAAATATCATTAAAATAAAAAAGTGTAATGTATCTAATACCTTTAAACTTTTACAAAAAAAAATTAGTGTGGCCCTGAACTTATTTGCACTCAGTGCAACCCTTAAATTAAAAAAAAACTAATATGATTTTTTAACCAACGAAATCAAATGTTAACGAATCACGATGTTTATGTGGTTGTTCATGACATTTATGTGACAGTCAATGATGTTGATGTAGACCACCACGTTAGCATCATAACTGTTAACGTTAAATTTCATTAGTTAAAGGGTCACATTTGTTTTTTCCTCCTGTAGTTTTAAGAATTATACTAAGTAAAAAGAATTTATGAACCACATTGATTTTTTTAAAAAAAGTTTGAGAGCCTTAGATACTTTTAAATAAAAAAGGTGTCAGAAGAATTTGAACTAGTATAAATTAAGTTAAAAACTTAAATATCATATTTTATATTTTTAAAATTTTCAAAATAATTTTTGAAAAAAATACTGAAAATATGTTTTTTTATGTTTTCAAATTTCACTTTTTTTTTAAAATTTTGTTTACAACTAAACACGTTTTCTTCGACATTTTTTATATTTTAAGAAAATAAAAATAAAAATAATCCATATTTTCTAAAACCAAATACACCTTTAGTACCTCAAATTAGATTTTCTTTGTTTAGCTATTAGTCCTACACAGGAATGCATATAAGATTTTATGTTAGTGACGAACTTTAAAAATTTTAAGAGAAATAAAAACATATTATTAATAAAAAATACAAAAGAAAAATCTAAATATACGATAATGTGAAATTATAAGAGGGGCGACTGGAGATCCATCCCTAGTACTACAGGTAATAAGTGCAGCTCATTTTTACAAACATAAAAAATTGTTAGAGAAATATCCTAAATGACTTGGTACATTTGTGTGAATCACTCGTAATATTTTACATAGTCATGTGAACCACCCTATACTAAAGATGTGCTTCTAACACCAATAACCAATTAGTCTAGTGGGATGAGGCATTAGATTCTTTAAGTAAGGTCAGGGGTTTGAATCCTGACATTTACGAATGGATTAGTCGGTCAATAGATAAAATACCGGTGATTAATTAAAAAAAATTACTTCTAACACCTTCTTTAGTGCTTATAGATAAAATCTTCAAACTAAAATATGACCTAGACTCTTTAAAGATACAATAAAATTAATGGGGTATTTAATCTATTGTTTGACTGAAGATGTCTAATAAATTCCTCTAAGAAAAAACTTCAACAATTTTAATAATTGATTTGATCTGATATGTTGAAAAATATTTATGATCCAATAAAATGTGCGAAGATATACTTTTAAAGTTTTGGTATACATTTTCCTCTTTTAAATTTTACAAATTAATTAGTAAGAGCTCTAAACTTATGAGAAATTAGGTGATTAAGCGTCGAGCCTTTGCACGGAGAAACTTTTGCCAATAAACATAACGAAGATGCATTTGCTCCACTATAAGTGTTGAGATTCGACATTAAGTATAACAACATTAGGATATCGCTGCTTATATTTACACTAGAGCAACAAAACACCTCCGTATGACATATTATGGAGCATTAATAATATCTCTGTACCCTTACTAAGTGTTGAGAAAACATCAAGCGCTGAGAATTTCTCGCGAGGTATATATGGGGGCATAGCGATATCTCCTCCTGAATTTAAAATTTTAGTGCTACTATACAAAGATGCGGAGATCTTCCATAACAAAAGCGCCAACACACCTCTGATCACTTAACAGATTAAGCGTTCCAAACACTTATGAAAGCCCGAAAGATGTAGAGACACCTCTCACTCTATTTCAGTAGAGGATCCACATCTATCCGAGGGTAGACACATGTCCACCTTGAGATTTGATTTTTCTTCTATTACTTACCTATTTTAGTAATAGTGCCCACTCTAAAATTTTATTTATGCCTATTGTAATAACTAAATAGTGGATAGTGACCAAAATGTAAAATTTAAAAGTTAAATAGCCAAAATATAAACTTTAAAAGTTTAGGGACTAAAAATGTAATTTTTTGAAGTTATATTTTGGGACTAGAATTAAGTATTTCAGCCCAAGAATAAAATTTTAGTGGGTTTTAGAATTTTGATTTTAAGTTTGTATAAAAGTTTATTAAACGATAAAAATCGGTAAAATATTCGGATAACCAGATCAAATCGGAAGTCTGCCAAAAAAAAGTTGAAGGAAGGTAGTTTGGGGATATAAATATTATACTGATATTTGTAATTAGTGGAATTTGATGTGAATTAGTGGAATTTGGAGGAATTTCCATGTTAAAGTGGAATAATAAAATTTAGTAACTAAATTGAATTTTTGGAAAATTGGAAGGGAAAATATGAAAATTGATATATGATATTTTTATATTTATTTAATGACATTAAAATGTAGATAAAAGAATGACATGATGGTAAAAATTAAGATTCATTAAGGGTAATTTTGACTTTTAGGCTAAAATGAATTTTAATTCATTTTAAATTGGGTTTTTAAAGAGATATTTTGTGAGAAATTTCAAGAAATTTCAGCTCATCTTCTCCATTCTGCTGTGACTCCATAGGCAAAGGTGAGCAAGTTTTGATTTTTCATTTTTGATCCATTTAGTGAGAATTTGGACTGATGTGTGAAATGGGAAAATGTTCTACACTTAATTCTCTACAAATTGATATATGTATTTCATTGTTTCATGCTTAAATGGTGAAGTGGGTATTTTTGGTGGTTGAAGAGAAGTTGATTTGATTGAGATAAGGTTGTAATCTAACTTTAGGAGTGTTGTGGAAGTATAACAAGTATGAAAAATGATTAAAAATGATTAGGGGAGGACTTAATTGAAAGTTTTG